TATATATGAATCAAAATATGAATATGCTAGAAGATAAGTTTAGAAAAACTTCTCTAAGAATCAAGAGTGATGGAGATGAGAAATTAAAGCTCAAACAGTAGATGAAAAGATCTCCTCCTCTTGCGAAACTTTCTTCACATAAATACTTGTAAAATAAACTTAAAACACCCTTAAACACTTGTAAAAACTTGTTTAAATCTTTTTTTAGATTTATAAAAGTGTTTAGGGCTGAAGGTTATTTATAGTTTCTCAAAACAATAGCTCAAAACTCGAGAAAAACACCAAAACTAAAATCTAGAAAAGCTAGTCGTTATTGCAATGGATTACTATTTAGTTGACCGGTGAACAGTATTCAGTCGACCGCACTGTTCACAGAATCTGAAACCTAAAAATCTGCATAGATGACTTTATAAAATCAATTAAAAATAGCAAATCAACTCCAAAAATCGTAAAATTTTTAGAAAAATTTCGAAATATGTATATAGATATGTTAGAGAAAGAATTTCTAAAATATCAATTCCCATTTGTGAGAAGTAACTGTTTTAAACTATATATTCTAGATTCTAAAAAACTGCTAAAAACCTTTTTTTTTTAAATTCAATTAAAAATAACAAAACAACTCCAAAATTAGTAAAACTTAGAAAAATGTTTGTATATATGAAATTAAATATGTTAAAAAAGAAAATTTTGAAAATACATTTTTTTTTATTTGTGAAAACTCATGTATTTTGCAAACCGTTCAAATACGAAAACATTAAAACTTGATTTTAATAAAATTTCTTCAAACAAGTTTTGAAACACTTTAAATAGATTTATCGGCTTTAAAAAGATATAAAATCGTGTTGTTAAGCCTATAACCCAAAAACACAATATTTTCTTAAAAACATGTATGTGTTTGAATTTTGAGCTATAAGTATAAACACACGAACTATAAACCTAAAACACTATACCCAAGCAACTTGATCTTCAATAAAGCTCGCCTTGGTTGTGGATGAAGCTTAATCTTGTAATTGACTTGAATTAATCATTGCTTCATTCTGATATCCTTCCAAGCTCCTTTAGATAACGTCGTTAAGCTCGATTCCATCCAACCTCCGACTTGAGGATCTTTACGTAGAATATCTAACAATCAAATATAAACACTTGACAGCATTATTAGGAATTATTTGTTAATCATCAAAATTAGATGGGATATATAGGCTCATAAACATGAGACCTAACATATACATGTGGCCAAGTCCAGGCACACAGCTGGCCCGACAGAAAGCTAGCAGGTGTCGGTTGTGGGTGGCATAGGTCATCCTGGTGGTTAGTGCAAAATGGCAGTAGCTGTTTTGTGCTGATTGGGTCTGATGACTCATGAAGACTATGAGAGTTAGAGCAATGATTACTTTAACCGTGCACTTAATTTTATGGTGACTGGCTATCAGCGGAGGGCTTGAGGATACACCGTCTTTCTAGTCGTCCAGCTGAAGGCCGACAAACACCATCTTTTTAGTCAGCTGCGCAAGTTGTCGGCTGATATAGCAGGCTGAGTGGGGGTACTCATAGGATCGATTTAGTGGGTATGCCGAGAAGTACCGTCTCTCGAGTCGACCACGTAAGTTGTCGATCTATGGAGTTGGTCGCAGGAGCGGATCAAGTTGTCTGGACTCTAATCATGTCTAATCTGGCGTGGAGCAGGACACATATCGACTGCATATGCAATGAGTCCTCTTTGATTGGATGTGGTGGATATTGATGAGGTATGGGGGGTGATGAGTCATGAAGACTCGTGGTATTTGCAATGATGAAGATAGACAACTGTCGCTGTGTAGTTCGAGGACGAACAACCTCTTGACTCGGCTCTGTGAGAGGGACGATAAGTATTGCCTCTCTAGTCGACCTCACAAGATGTCGACCCAGATCTAAGTGAATGAGGGTGGTTGACTCGATTTATGAGGTCGAGTGGGAGCTGGAGTCAAGTGTACTGGCTACTCGAGTCACCCCTAACGAGGTGAGCTGGTATGATTGATTAATGCTGACATGTGACACGTGTCGACTCTAAGAGGAAAATTAACACTTAACTTAATTGATTTCATAACATACATTTCTATTAATTTCAGTAGTTGAGTGAATTTTCAACCCAGTATTTTAGTATCTATTCAATTCAATATAAATAAATCTAGTCCTAAATTGTCCCAATAATTCTGAAGGCGACAAATCATGTTTGTAGCTACTAAAAAGATGTTTCTCAATCAATAATTAACAACATAAATCTAATATTTTGTGAACCTAGTGGTTGCAAGAGACGGATTAGCAAGTGAAATATGAGTAAAATCAAAATTGTGTACTCTTCACTAGCCTTAGATAGTAAATGACCATTTTCTCGGTTATAAGCGTCTGTTTAATATGGAATTCCGATATATCGTAATAGAAAGTGGTTTAATATAAGATTAAATACTAGTTATATTAAAAATGAATTAGAGTCATCTCAATACTATAACTTAGGCATGTCCATTTGGTCGGCCCGGCCCGGCTCAGCCCGGAAAACCGGGCCAGGGCTGGGCAAAACCGGAGCCCAGACCCCAAGCCTGAGCGGGCCGAGCTCCGGGCTGACCCGGGTTTTCTTTGTTTTTTAAATTTTTAATTTTTTTTTAAATTTTTCAAGAAGACAGAGAAAAAAAATAAACACAATTTTGATAAAAATTCATATTATTAATCAATTGTAATTATGTAATTTGCAAATATAAAAATTATAGAAATTAAAATAATAAAATGATATAAAATAATTGTAGAATTTATAGAAAAAAAGAAAATTAAAAATTATTGTAGAATTCAAAGAGCCACAATGCCTAATCAAAGACCTCTAAATATATATGTTGCGGCTAGGATTTGAACTACTAACCTCCTCTACAAACTCCTAAATTTTATCACTAGACTAAGTAGCCCAAAATATCCATGTTTCCCCCAAACCGAAGCTCCTCTCCCCTCCCCAGATCCCTCTTTCCTCTCCTGCTCACCCCTTCACGCCAACGCCTTCACCCGTCGAGATCGCCGTCGAGCTCCCCAAACCCTCCTCCCTCTCCCTCCGACCAACTACGACTCCGACTCCGACTCCGACCTCCTCCGCTGCTCCCTCTCATATCGCCGCCAGCTCGCCGCCAGTCTTCACCCGCGTCGGAGCCAAGCCCGCGAGCCCCGTCGCCGCCAGTCTTCACCCTCGTCGGAGCCAAGCCCAGATCGAGGTCATCTCTAAACTTTTTGCTTGATTTTGGATTCAAGGCTCTTTATAAGTTCCTGTTAATTTGTCATCAATTCTGGAAGTTCAACGATCGAAATCAAACAGAATGTTGGTCAAAATTTGAAAATTTGCTTTATTTTCTATAGTTTCCTGCTATGATGATCGGAAAGTGTTCATGAATTGAGAAGTGTCAAATTACATTTTGTTCGTTTTATTTTCTCAACTAACTGAAGAATTAATGCTATGATGATCCGAAAAAGAAGTCATCGGCTTTTAGGGAAGTGTATGTATATGCTATCTGGGTTGTTCCTGTCCAGTCTTTGAATATTTTGACTGCCTACTTTCTTTATATTTATTTAAAGTTGAAAAATTCATTTCACATATTCGCCTCATAAGATCATTGGCATAATCACAACATTTTTGGGACATCAAGTTAATTGTTCTTTCATATGAAACATCAACTTTACTTGCCAATTTATATATGGTTGTAGCTTTGTAAATTATAACAAGATTAGGTTAGTTGGTAGAAAATCGTAAGTTGTTTTCTCTAATTTGCAGCAAGATTAGGTTAGCTGGTCATAAATTTACTTGCCAATTTAAATGCATTAGTAATTTAGTGCATTTGATACTTATATATTTCACTAGGGAAGATTTAGTGCATTTGGTAATTCAATGATCAATTTATAGATCTGAAAAACTCAACATAGAATATGGATTTTCCTTGTTTATAGACTGATATATACATTTGTATGAACCTTGAATTTTGGGAGTGTAGATTATGTACATAATTTGGATTACGTTGTGAGTAGATGATATCGGGTACGTACACAATCTTGTTACATTGATATACATTTGTTTATGGTATGTTTTTTGCAGATAAAAGATGAAGAACTTTTCAGAAGAGTTCAGTGGAGAAGAAGATGAGGGTTTAGTACAAAGAAGATGTTATTGTGGGTTAATTTGTAGAATATCGATGTGCAAGCAAGGACACAATAAGGGCTTAGAATTTTATGGATACCCAAGATACAAGGGACCTAATTGCAAGGGTTGCAACTTCTTCGAATTGGTGGGTGATACCAAGAACATCACAAAAAGGCTGGAAAGACTAGAAAAAATAATAAGGTTTTGAATAAAAAATTGAATGAATTAATTTTATATTTAAAATTTTAAAGTATCGTTGTACTGATATTGTTGCTCTATGTTATTGTCAAATGACTGAGCAATATATTAGTGAATGACTGATGTATCCAAATATCCTATTGTAAATGAATGTGAGAACTGGTTATGTTTATTTGAAAATGGTTCAGTTGTTATGATTATTTGGTTGATATTCGTTGTTATGATTATGTGATCCACAGTTTGATGATATTATTTCTTTTGCCGATGTACTTATGTTTTTTCTCCATCCTCCTTTTCTGCTCTGATAATGAGTAATTCTAAGGGACCAGGATTATACAATTCAAGAATTTCATTTAGTATCTGTTACTTATGTTTTTTCTCCATCTCTGTATTTTTTCTTGAAAATTGGTCATGAGCAATAGCCTTTGTAATGTGAGAACTGCTATGATGTACTTATGCATTCCAGAGTAATCACGAACTACAAAAGCCAGGTTCAACAAAATTTAGGAGACCGTTATTTAAACGCTTTGATTCCGGAGAAAAAGCAACTGTTGGCTGACAATAGCCCCTTCAATTCATCTCGTTTGTCTTGAATTTCTTGACAGAATCAAGTATATACCATAACAGGTCCTAGTAATGCCCCTTCAAGAAAAGTTGCTGATCAACAGTTATGAAATTCGGACCGTCTCATTTTTCGCTGCAAGTTGAAATAAACATGAAAGCCATCATCGCCCCTAAAAAAGCTAACACGTGACAATAGCGCCTACTACAATAGCGCCTAATATTAACTTTAGCCATTATCAGGCATCTGCTGTTGTTGATGCTGCTGCTGTGCTTGCTGTTGTTGGGCTGATTGCACTTGAGGCCACATATAAGCCCTAGAATGAGGTTGATGAGCAGCATAGAAATCAGCAGACTGGTCCATGTTTTTCCCCCATAAACATGCCTGGATGCTGTTGAGCATAATAATAAGGAATAGAATCAGCCGGCCCCCCAACCATAAGCAACGCAGCTCTCGGAATCCCAAGTTTAGAGAATATTGAACGTAATTAACACAGACAAAATATTGTGCTTCCACACAAGTTAGCCTACAATAATTTAAACGTAATTAACACAGACAAAATCAGTATAAACTGAACAAAGAATATTGAAGAGATATTCATGTTCTGCATCAAACATTTTCTCTGATGAAATAAGCAGCCTACTTGACCTTCTTCTTGGGCCTCGGCTGCAAAAAAAATTAAGAAAACACACAAGTTAGCTACAATAATTTAAACGTAATTAACACACAAGTTCTGCATCAAACATTTTCTCTGATGAAGGAACTAAAAAACACAGATACATAACGATGATCACAAATTCTCACCAATAGTGTTATGATTTGCTCTGCCAACATTGATCAAACTTCACACAATAGTGAGAACTTCATCTGTCTTAAAAAAAAAACAAAGTGCTTCATCACATTAAAAAAATCATGATATATACCAAAAAAGCAATGTACAAGTTATTCCGTATGTATTAACCATTACCTTCCTCACAAGAATCTTCTAAATCATCAGTGGCTTCATCAATATTATCTTGTTCCATTGAATCACTAAAAAAAATTGATGATAGTAAAACATATTAAAGATCATTGCACCAACTTTAAAAATAATAGCATTAGTATTACTAAAACAAATGATACACTACCTTGACAACTTTAGAGGGCAATTTCTGCTATCATGATTTTGTCCTTTCTTTCCACACAATTTGCATTTCCTAGGCCGACATTTGCGGATCTCCCTTGATGGCTTTAACCTCTTCCCTTTAGGCCTTCCTTTTGTTCTTGCTTGACATGGTTCATGAACCATATTTTGAGAACACTCCACATTCATATATTGTGCATCCACATCTTGTCCAATTTCCTCATCATTGATGAGTTTCAAACGTTGCACCTTATTAATAGCATCCATCATCATTTCACGCATTAATTCATATGCGTCATTAGAAGATAGCCCCTCTTTGACCATTTCATTAGCTAAGCAATTTAGTTCACTAAAACGAGAAGCAAAATTAATTGTGGCATTATCTCCAATAATATTACCATCTCTAAGAACAACCCTTTTTTTGACATTTCGGCACCATCTTCTTAGAATATATTGCTCCGGTAACTCATTATGATTGGTAATTTTAAGATATGCCAAGATATGTCGGCACGGAATGCCCTTGAATTCAAACATGAGACACGAACAACTCACCATTTTAGTTGTTTTGCAATATGTAATATGTCTCAATCTTTCATCATGACCACAAAAATTCAATTGGAAAGTACTTTCTCTTTCATTTTCTTTTACCAACTCAATGTTATACATTAAGCTAGGTTGAAGCTCGTCTTGAAAAATATAAAAGATTTTTTTCGTATAGATTTGGGCCATTTGTTTTTCCATTGACCACAAAGTCTTCAATTTTGGTTTTTTTCTCCACTGTGCAATGATCTTCTTTAACCTCCCCCTCTCTTTGTCTCCCCAAAACCCTCTGAAAGATTATCACGAAATCATGAAGTGAATTTTTCCTTGATACATACATTTTTAACAATGCATTCATCCCTTCACTTCTTTGACTGCTAGACATTCCAGCCTAAAAGTGTTGTTTATGATAAACCGGAGCCCATTTTTCACGAATTTCATAGATATCCTTCAGCCAATCATGCATTTCTAACCCATTTCTCTTCAGAATTGAAACCCAATTCTCTTCAAAAGAGCTAGCAGTCTCAGAGTCCCAAATATTTTCTTTGAAAGATTTCATAAATTCCGTTCTATAAGCCCATTTACCCAACTTCTCCGGAACTTTGTCCAAGATATGCCAAACGTAAAACCTGTGCCGAATTTCTGGAAAAACTATTTCAATTGCCTTGCATATGCCAAGACATTAATCTGTAATCATACCCCAAGGAGGATGACCCATTGCTTCAATCCATTTGTTAAACAACCATACAAAAGAATTCGCTTCTTCGTTTGGGATCAAGCCACATCCTAAAAAAACACTTTGCCAATGGTGATTTATGCCTACAAACGACACAAATACCAAGCCATATTGATTTGTGTTATGCGTGGCATTGAAGGAGACAACATCGCCAAAGTGTTGATAATTCATTCTAGCAATGCCATCCACCCAAAAACAATGAGTTAAGCGTTTCACTTCATCAACTTCATAAACATAATAAAATGAAGGATTCTTCTCTTGTTCCGACTTGAAATGATCCAACATCATTTGTGCATCATGACCGCGCCTCTCCTCTCTCAAATCTCTTTCATAATTTCTCACATCGGTCTCAATGCATCCAATTCTATGAAAACCTCCGCTAGAGTTTTCAAAGAAGGCCATTTGCTTGTTTGTTGGAATGTTCACCTCTCCAAACTGCTTTATCAATGTCTTCTTCGCACTTGTTACCTCACGGTTTCCCCTTAGAAAATGTGTTCTACTCGGTGAAGTAATTGTATGATTATGTTCTTCCACGAACTTGTAGACACTCCATATGCCAATGTTTTTGTCTAATTTCAAGCGAATCAAGGCCTTACAATTTGTTCTAATTGTACCACATCGTCGAATTTCCAACGATTTGCTCTTTAACACTCCTTCTTTCGAACAAATATAACTTTTGCAAATTAACTCTCTATCCTTCCCATAATTTGTTGTGCTATTACGGATATCAAAACCTCCGGCCTTTTCGTAATTTTTGTAGAATTTTTTGGCATCTTCTAAATTGTTGAAAGTCATTCCTATTTTTGATTTTAAGTGCTCATCAACAATTGACACAACTAAGTTATCTAACTGTGAGGTTTTTTATTCAACAATATGGGAGCAACCATCTTCAGTTTCCATTGGATCAAACATCAAGAACAAACATCAAGAATAACTTTTACCTACAAAAATTAACATCAACAACAAACATCAAGATCAAACCATCAAAGACCACTGTGCACAAAAATAAACAAATGAATCCATAGATTAAAAAATTCATCTTAAGAGGACAGTCAAAAAAATTACAAGATCAAACACATGTTGCACATTTGCATTTATTTAATCAATGATGGGTTCACTTTCTCAGTGGCTAATCAAGCGAGACAAAATAGACAGCTAAAATGGCAATGACATCAAACACATGTTAGTCAAGGACTTAAATTGAAAACACACAAATTCAAAGCATGCGGGTGGAAACATAAAGTGCCCTCTAGCACGCTATTATCATTTTTTTTATTTATAATTTTTTCCTCTGATTTTCTTGAGCAGTGGAAAAAAGGGCATTTTTCAGGGGGGTATTTCTTCTTTTTCATGAACACTTTCAATTAGTTGAGCAGGGTAAAATATTTCTTGAGCAGGGGAAAATATTTCTTCTACATTAATTCTTCAATTAGTTGAGAAAATAAAACAAACAAAATATAATTTGACACTTCTCAATTCATGAACACTTTCCGATCATCATAGCAGGAAACTATAGAAAATAAAGCAAATTTTCAAAATTTGACCAACATTCTGTTTGATTTCGATCGTTGAACTTCCAAAATTGATGACAAATTAACAGGAACTTATAAAGAGCCTTGGATCCAAAATCAAGCTGAAAGTTTAGAGATGACCTCGATCTGGGGTTGGATCCGACGAGGGTGAAGACTGGCGGCGACGGGGCTCGCGGGCTTGGCTCCGACGCGGGTGAAGACTGGCGGCGAGCTGGCGGCGATATGAGAGGGAGCAGCGGAGGAGGTCGGAGTCGGAGTCGGAGTCGTAGTTGGTCGGAGGGAGAGGGAGGAGGGTTTGGGGAGCTCGACGGCGATCTCGACGGGTGAAGGCGTCGGCGTGAA